CTATTATAATCAATACTCACTTCATCCGCTTAAGTCTGACAGTGACTAATGCATCCGCAGAGAAGAATTTTTTGTTCTCAACGAAATCGAAGGATAAAAGGTTAGCTGACTTGTCGTTTCTACTGTGGCCGATGAAACCAACTCTAGCTGAGAAACATAACGCCCATAGGGGCACCGGGTGACTGGCGTTTGGCACTTCATTTAGGCGCCTATGGTGAGCACGCTTTGAAACGAAGTTTTTACAGAGGGCAAAGAGCGGCTGCTATTACATTGTACTGTCTATGATTCTAGGAATATTACTGTTCAAGTCTACACTTTTGTAGCTTTGCTGACGTAGTTTTAGAAGGCGAATATGTTTAAGGGTTGAAGTGAAAGCCGCCAACATTGAAGGCAGAAAGGCAGAGAGACAGAGCTCACATTTTTAGATTAAAGAAGCAAGAGCTGAAATTTGTAAATAAATATGCTAAAAAGAAATACTATGTTTCTAACTTTGAAAATTCAAAATCGTACAAACAATTATTCGCCATTTGTGATGAACTATTAGGAAGGGTCAAAGAGACACGTCTCCCGAATTCTTTAACTTTAAGCGATTATGAACTACCTAAAAAGATTGCTGATTATTTTACACAAAAAGTTCAGAAACTAAGAAATGACCTTGATAACTATGAAACACGTGGTGATTTTGATGTATATGTTGGGGTGATTCAATGATAAGTTTGAACCTGTTTCTGAAGAGTACATTAAATCTGTAATTCTAAAATCCCCCAGCAAATATTGTGAAGTCGACGCTGTCCCTAGTTTTCTGTTGTCTTACTGCTTTGACGAACTGATCCCATTTATTACTAAAATCATAAATAATTCTCTAGGGTGTGGATCAGTACGATTTAAAATTGCTCTAGTAAAACCTTTGCTAAAGAAACTAAACTTTGATAAGAATGTCTTAAAGAACAATAGACCTGTTTCAAATCTACCTTTTTGTCTAAAATCCTTGAAAAGGTTGTCCTCCAGCAGCTTCGTCATCACTTACAAGAGAACAATTTGTTGGAGCCATTCCAGTCTGCCTATCGAGCTAACCACAGCACAGAAACAGCACTTCTTAAAGTCATGAATCGACATGCTTACTAATTGTGATTCAGGAAAAGTTGTTTTGCTGAGTCTTTTAGATCTATCAGCAGCTTTTTGGTACAATTGGCCATCATATTATTTTATTGAAAAGATTGAAAGTGTCTTTTGGAATATCCGGGGCTGCCCTTAGATGGTTTTGTTCTTACCTATCAAATCGTTGTTATTAAAAGGCTTGAGTCATCAGATCATGCTCTTAAGTATGGGGTCCCGCAGATCTCAGTCCTCGGTCCAGTGGCAAAAAAAAGGACTCACTTAAAGGCCAATAACTCAGTCATCTTTGCATTAATTTCAACAAAACTTCGAACAAAATAAATTCAACTGCATCAAGTTTGTAAATAAGCTGAAAATCAATGAACGTGGTCAGGAAATACCAGTTTTAAAAAAGACTTTCAACTAAAATAGGATAAAATACCAAATGTTACTTCTTGAAAGTGTCCAGCCTCTGGGGCTGATCGGCCTGTTCTTGTTTCAGGACAAGGACATTAAAACCACGACAGCTACATCTGATGGATATCTCACCGTGCTGAGAAAGTTTTAGAGAAGTTTGGGTAGGAGAAGGTGTTATGCTGTTGAGGCCTGGTTTCAGCGGGAGGGATAAATGTCATGAGCGGCCCTTGTATGGTTGCAAGAAAGGTTTGGGGAACGCCGAAATTTTACAAATGAATGGTCACCTCATTCTCCCCGACTTGAGCCCATTCAATTATTACCTTTGGGGTTTTTGACAGACAGAATCTACGGAAACAATCCACAAATAATCGAACAGCTGAAACTCAATGTTGAAGAGTACGTCCAAAGAATCAACCCAGAGAGATGCCACGGGGCTATTCAAAATATCCAGTGGCGTATTGGTGCTTGTTTGGAGAGAAATGGTCAAACCAATCACCTCCTGTGTTTATTTGGCAACTTTAATTTTGTATAAATTTGTTCTTCAATGCACAAATAGTGACTATTTGAAAGAGAGTAATAACAATATGGTTAACTTTTAAGAAGTTGCAAAGTTTTGCGGTTCACTGAATTTTAGTTGAAATTTTAACAATTTGATATTTTTTTAACGTGTAAGTTGATTTTTACGTATTGACAAATGTAAATGAAATTCGTGTAAAATACCTTTCCCAAGGACACAATGTTGAAACAAGCTGAGGCTCGAACACCCGAACCCTCAATCTTTCGCCTAACCACTAGGCAACCAAGGCCACATCGTGACGGTCTTGACAAGGGGAACAACTTGAACCTTCCTGTTCTACTTGTTCAAGGCTTTGCTGCAGCTGTTGCTACTGTCTATACTACAAAGACGACAATGAAGACGACGACGACGACGACGACGACGAC